GTCTTGGGTGCTGCTGCGGTGGTTGTGGGGTGGTAGTAGCGGCATCCTGCAGTAAGTCTACTACTGCCTCCACAGCTAACTAGAGCTGTATCCGAGACGCCCGTGACGTCACTGCTGTAGTGGTGGCTGTCTGCTACTACATCCACAGTTACCGCAGCGTAAAATCAAGTCTATGAAATAATGTAAAATGTTGGATATTAATTGAATTTTTTATTGGTTCAAATCATTTACGTTATGAGATTACATCTTGCTCCATTAGTTGGCTTGTTTCTGCTGGTGACTTTGGGCGAATATAAATACCTGAAAAAGAATGGAAAAAATTTCAGAGTTAAATTCAAATTATCTCAGAGTTCAACTCAAACATGTTCTGGTCCATCTGTATCACAGTGACGCCAACTCATCGAATGAACTTTCTATGTTACAGGTGGTAAGCATCAAGTCCAGGCCCAGGCACATCCCTTTGGATGAGAAGCAGCATCACTTCCTACTACAACTGTACCATACAAATGAAATAAATAGCAGCATTGCTGTCAAAGATTACAAATGATTTGCCTCCAGTTCCCCACTAAAATTAAATCACAACTATATATTTTAGGCTCAAGTAATAAGCCGTAAATATGGAGTAAGAATAAGCAGTAAAGAAATAACAAGTAACCCCCCAAAAAAAAACAATACGAAAATAAACTTTTACCAAACATGACTACCATAAATGTACTGGTATTTCATGTTAACATCACATTGAAAGTCTAAACTTACCAGATTCATTCCTGCAACCATGAGGAAAAGGAGCGATTCCTCCTCCTGTGTGCTCCAACTCCAACTCAGCATACAGCAGGTGACACATAAGCTGCTTTGCTGATGTCCAAGTCAGGTGCACCTCCAGGCCGATAATCTTCCTGCAACAAACCAAAGACACAATTTTATAGTCAAAGAAACAGGATGCAAAAGAGGCAGGAAGCACGCAATTTCGACAGAGGAGGCCAAAGTCGACTCTTTTAGACCAATTTTAATTATTTCCAGCTATTTTTATTTTTTTCATTTTTGGCCAAATTTACAAAGGCTATAGCCTTTGTGTTTTTAGCGAAAATTGATGGGTCTAGATTTCGACGGAAAAGTAGTCGAATCGACAGGGGTGAACCAGGGGACCACAAAACTACTTTTGGTTCCGTCAGAAACCACCCCTGTCCTCAAAAACTTGAATTTTAAGGGGTGGTCTTTTGAATGTGGCGGGCAGCGTACAATGGGCTGCCTACCTAGCAGGCGGGCCCAAGAAAAACAGGCATAACTCACTTAAAATGGTCTGGCTGCGCGAAATTTCAACGGAGAGATTGAGAGAGGATGCTGTCGGACCAATCCCAACCATTTCCAGCGATTTTAATTTTTTTCATTTTTGGCCAAATTTACAAAGGCTATAGCCTTTGTGTTTTTAGCGAAAATTGATGGGTCCAAATTTCGACGGAAAAGTAGTCGAATCGACAGGGGTGAACCAGGGGACCACAAAACTACTTTTGGTTCCATCAGAAACCACCCCTATCCTCAGAAACTTGAGTTTGAAGTGGTGGTATTTCGAACTATTGGCGGGTAGTCTACGTAACGCGCACAAGCTAAAGTAACAGGAAAAGTACTCTGCTGTAGTGGGTTGGCTCCATGATATTTACACATAGCAAGTGACAGGGGAGTCTGCCCCACAAATTCAAACCAATTCCAGCCTGGATTTTGACAGGGGAGGATTGAAATTGTCAGGGAAGAACCAAGGCGCTACAAAAACCATTAAAAACTGAACTTTGATGCACACCAAAGGGAGCTTCTCATAGCGCCTGAACAGAGACAAATTGGACCAGCTTTTGTTACTTTCATGTCAACTCACCTGTACTTTCAGGTAAAAATGACTCCATGGACTTCTATGCTCATGTCAAGAACATTTCTGGGCCGAGTGTCTGCAATCATATTAAAAGGTACTTTTAGCGCTCATCGACTATTAATTACATATAATTTACTCACACAATACACTTTTAAATGCCTCTCCCCCCATACGTCTCTAATTGACCATGGTCTTTCAAATAACTAATTTTGGCACTAGACTAAGCATTAAGTACGAAGGGGCAGCTGCAAATTATCTGCAACGCACATTGATTGATTGTTTGGAGGGTTACGCAAATAGTACCACTCGGTTTGCACCCCAACCAGAAAGTAATAAAGTTTTCTGTTCCACGAGAATAATATAGAGTAAAATATATGTGATAAAATGATATGTGATAAAACACTGGCAGTTCACCCATTCGCATAAGTGACCTACAAGAGTATTTAACATACTGCATGGATTGGAGGAGTCTACCCATTCAACACCTTTTCAACAAAGCTGACAGTGAGCCAAGTTATTTACATCACGGGCATCATTTACTCGGCCTCAAAAAATAACTTACA